CTGAGAAGCTACGGGTTCAAATTGGCTAAATCAATGCATCCGCGTAAAGCGGGGTAATTTGGAGCGAATTTTGAAAATCGCGTTATAATGAAATCGCGCAATGCGGGGTCGCGCAAAGCGGGGTATTACAGTATTTAAAGTGCCGTAAATATTTATTAAAATTAAAATACTAAAATTGCACTTTCTACGCTGTTACAATGAAATTAAATCAGTCTATATCTGAAAAACAAAATAATCAATTGTTCTGGTTTTATTGGCACTTCAGACCAAACAGGTACATACAATATTAAGAAATTTTCTGCAATAACTTGTGACATAGTAATTTTCAACAAATCACATCGTAAGACAACGAAACTGCTGTTTTTTTTGTTTGCTTGTTTGTCTTGTATCGGTTTTAATTCCTCCTTCTTCGCTCGACGTTTTGCCATCTAAAATAAGAATTAATAAAATTAAAATAAGTACGTACAATAATATTAAAGCTCCGAGTCAGGTTACTTTTATGTTACATCTGGCCTATCGTCATGTACGGCTGCGAAACGTGGACCTTAAAAGATAGACACTACAAGACGCCTGCACGCGTTTGAGATGTGGTGCTACCGTCGCAAGATGCGCATTGCTTGGACACAGAGTGTCACGAACAAAACTGTGCTTCACGTGTTTATATGTCCCTGAAAAAGATGCCATCTATCAAAAGGCGCAAAATAGAGTATCTTGGTCACATGATCAGGAACAATAGATACACGCTGCTACAGCTAATATTGATGAGAAAAGTGCAGGAAAAGAGACGCGCTGGACGAAGAAAGAAATCGTGGCTGCGGAACATCCGGGAGTGGACCGGCATTGCCTCTGTCGAACAGCTGTTTCGGTTGGCTGCTGATAGAGACGGATACACGAAGCTGACGGCCAACCTTCAGCATTGAAGAAGAAGAAAAAGATGAACTGATAATAATAACTCTGTGAGTGTACACTGTGTGTGTGTAATACCTTCATAGAACAATTTTGAAAAGTGAATTTTTCAAGTTTACCGTGTACCGGAAATCAAACCCGGAACCTAGAGCAAAGGAAATAACACCCAGGCCAGAACCAATTTTGAAAAGTTCATTTCCCAAATTGGTCCTACCGGGAATCTAAGCGGTCGCAAAGTGGCTTTTCTGTTTTGTTATGTTGCATTTAGAGAGATGTATGCTTTATTTAGATACAGAATATGTTTTGTTAATTATGAAAGCGTTAATTGTACCTCGGCTTTTAGGCCAGTACCGCGTATCTTTTTCTTCACGGGACCCCGGCGATGGCGGCGGCGGCTCGAAGAATTCGTCTGCGATAACAAGACACTGATCAATCGATAATAGACATTATTACTAAATAAAGGAACCTACACCATACCACAATATAAGACACCACAAAGAGATATTCCCTACAATCGTGAAGGAGCGTAACGAAAGGAGGGAAGGGGGAAAGGGGACTTTTATTTAGTGTAAAAATAATTGTATTGGATTTGAATCTGTATTAAAATGTGTTAAGTGCATTTCTAGTGCTACATTCACTGAATTATGAAGTTGTAATTTGTAACTTCAATTAGCCCAGAGCGAATTGAATTGTTGTATTTCTAACTAAATACAATTATCGAGCTGCGAATTTGCTGTATCTCGGTGAACCGTAGTTGGTTGGCCACGATGAAATGCTGTAAATATATCGAAACATTTAAACGGGAACCGTGTATCTCGACTTCAAAAAACAATGTATAAGCAAAATTCTTGGTGTATCTATTTTATCATAAAAATAGCAACGTCGTATAACGAAAAAATATCGCCATAGAATTATGATACCTAGATCAAAAAATGCGGAAATTTTTTTCTGATTCCAAATAATAAAAAACTCATTTTGCCATTTTTCGAGATACGACGAGATCGCTTTCCGGCGTCGAATAATAATGTCAACAGTGTCATCACGCTACTGACATTGACATTTCATAAAAACAGAAAAACGCTCATTATGAAGAGCACGCTGTTAATCGAAAGTTTCCCAATTTCTTCTGTTAATACTACAGTTGTAACGAAAATTCGGTTATTATTTGGTATTCGGCTTATTCGGCCTGTTTTTTGTTATTCAGCTGAACACCGAATACCTAAAAACACGAAGATTTCACGATCCGGTCCAATTTTTCTCTTCTATAACTAAAAGATCAAAGGAACATTTTAATTCTTGTAATGGAATAGAAGAAAGAGATTACTCTCAGTCTTGGTTTGGTCATTAGTGCCTTTGGCTTTTCCAATTGAAAAAACAGTACCAAAAAAAGGAACGTAAGAACAAAAGGAAAAAAAGGTTTCATATCAAAGGGAAACTACTTTCTTGTTAAGTAGTTTACTTCTAAATGAACGCCAACAAAATCAACCAAATACTTCTTATTTGCAAATCAAAATAAAATTAAGTTTTTGAAAGTTATTGAAGCTGAAGTGAAATAAACAATTACTTTCTTCAGTAAATCATAAATTTAAATTATAAACTTGAAAATTACAGTGCCTTTTATTGTTTAATTACAAAATTATTTATCTTAACTGGAGTTAAAACTGGTATTTTGTTGCCAATTTTCCTGGTCTCAACCCTAATGTAATGAGTGGGTGTGGCAGAAAAAACATGAAAGTAAGGTGAATGCTGTAGAAATGAGAGCTTTGCGCAATACGTGCGGTATTAGTCTTAAAGACAGAAATGTAGTAAGAGAGCATTGTAATATGAACGATGATGTAGTAACCATGATAGAGAGGGGGAATGCTTCGATGGTTTGGTCATGTAGAATGAATGAATGTTGGTAGATTGACGGTGCAAATTTATAAAGCAAATGTGATTGAGGATGTCCTTCAATAAAGACCTGGTTAAAATTATTAAAAATAAACGGGCATGTATAAAGAACTGATGAGAGTGGAGGAGGTATTTTTTTTTTTTTTTTATTGTGACTCGGCAAAATGACTGCACGGCGCCTGATGGAAAGTGCGAATACAGTCCAGAGATGAGAGTAACGGATGGAAAACACAAATATCTTCACTCCGTCACTATCATTTTGCCGGTCTGGCCAAATGCTTCTTCACACTACGTTTGAAGGACCCGATGTAATAGAGGGGAGGGAATACATGCGCCGGGAGTTGGTTCCACAATTTGATGGTTCGGCATAAAAACGAATTGCCAAACTTTTTAGTGCGGGACGGTATTGAACTGACCGTCCAACTGTGGCAACGCAGTCCGGCACGGGTGGTCCGCTGATGGAAAGGAGAGGAAGGGATAAGGTTGAATAACTCTTCAGAGCACTCACCAGAGGTAAAGGAGTTTTGGCAGATGGAGTTCCAATATCTCTGCCTACCCCAGTAGGAGACAAGCGTGATAATAAGTATGTACGCGTATGTAATTTCTCTACGTGTGACTGAGAACTGCGGAAGGCCGTATTTTAGTAGCAGTACAGCTCCTTGTGAAAGAGTTCGTCCATGAAAGTACTACCACCTTACCTATTTCTGCCGCCAAACAGTAATGTGAACAGTAGTATGTTCCGGCCTACCATCAGGCGCACAACTTGGTCGTCCCGTCATGACATATTATAAAAAACTAAAAAATTAAAATAATTTACTCAAAATAATTATATAGGATTAACATATAATAATAATAAGTTTATTTATAACAGAAATAATTGTACAAGCCTGATAGCACTGGCTTAGAATCACAGCTCATGTAACATATAGGCCAATGCACCGAGCGATTATACTGGCTTAACTTAAGTATGAGTGTATACATAGTTGGTGAAGACAATCTTTTTTTGACTTAATAATTTAAACTAGTGAATTATTTTGTTTCTTAAACAAAGCAAACAGTCGTTATGTGAATTAATTTTTTTTTGTTAGGCTCCCTTGTTTTCGTGCATTCTATTATTAATCTGTTGAAAATCAAGCTCTATTGTTTGGCGTGAATAACTGGCTCTAATTATTTTGCTAGCCTTAAAAATTAAAATCATTTGACCCCTAGAGCCTTCAAATACTACTTCTTCCGTTTACAGCAAACAAATCGCTGTTTTTTTAAAATAGCGATCCAAAAAAATAGTTCATAATTCCGGAAAGCTAAAAACATGACTAACTTCACGAGGATGAGAAGCGAAAATAATCTTTATCTACCTTAGAGCATAGGTGCCCAAACATTTTGGCTCACCGCCCACTTAGGCAATATGAAATAATTTCAACGCCCATCACCACAAAAAATAATTGGAAAGACGTATTTTTTATATTAACCCAAAAAAAATCACAAGGAAAAAAATTATGTATGTATATGTAGTGTACTTTATATACAAAATGTAGGTTTTTTTTTTCAAATGCAGTAGCACCCCCTGGACAATATCAATGCCCAATTGCTTCCGAGACCCCTACCCTAGGACTTTTCAACACTTTGGGAAACTATGCCATAGACAATCTTCAAAACTTTTTCTATTACAAACAAAAGTAGATTTTCCCCTTGGTTACCCATTGAGATTAAAAAGAACCAATGAATAATGGTTGATTTTAACAACTTATAATTCAGCTAAGTGGTTTTATCATTTTTTTTAATAATAACACACTCGACATAGCCCCGCACTAGGGAAATCCTGTGTCGCGGGAGCCATGGACACACATTTAGACAACCACAAATTACACCCAAACTCACGAGAGAAATAAATGTAGGCCATAGAAATATTTCTCCCGGCCCGGGAATCGAGCCTGGGACCTCTGGGTGGCAGTCCGGCATGGTAACCGTTCGGCCACGGAGGCAGTTGTCAATTATTCATTAAATTTACGACCTATGCAATAGTACAAGCAGCCTCCGTTACTTTAACGTCGGAATCAATCATTTGGCGACGACATACATGACTGTATGATTTATGAATCTATCGTAGCTGCAACATAAACTGTTCGTGAAATAAGTTTTATAAATTAAATTTAATGGGGCTCTTTTGTAACAGCCTGTCAGTACATTTTTATTTCTTTACACAGGTACTCGGATAGAAACCACATTCTCTGCACGGAACGGCGATGTGCTACAGCGATTCTCAGCAGTTTCCTATTACCACCAATCCTCTGCATCCCCACTTATATGGTATGTACACATTGGTCTGTATCTGTTATAAAACTGAATTACGTCTTCCACACACCGCTAATTCGGAGTGTTGTTATTTCCGATACAATAACAGACGGCGTACTAAAGGACGCTACATCTTCCATTTATGTACAATAATGTCTGCTTGGAGGGCCATAAAAATGTATACCAAAATATGTATATGTACGTGTATATATGGTTTGGTTTCTGCGGCAAGGGTTCAGCTTTTTAATGTCACCCGTGAATGTCAACTTTGAATGACATTCGTATTAGGGCACTTCAGCTGGGTTTATTTTCACGTGTTTTTTTTTTCAAATTGGAATACTGTGTTGCCAATGTCAAGCATTAAACTATTTTTGTTATCCTTGTCATAACTAACGCATTTGCATTTTGGTAACTTTCGAGATATCGGCACCAAAATTTTTTTCAATTATGCTAAATTAAAAATTACGCAAAAAAGTCAATTACGCTCATTCTGCTTAATAATAAAAATGAAATTAATAAGATATTGAAAACCGCTTATAGGCGGTTATAGATATTGTTTTACTAACTGAAATGTTAATAACTAAATTTCGCTAAAAAAGTCCGTTGCGGTACGGTTTTTTTTAAGAATTTGAGTACCGTGTTGCCATTTTCAAGCATGAAGCTATTCCTGCTGGAAGCTTTTCCCGTTTCCCACAGATATCAATAATTCCAAAAGCCAGATTAAAATGGGGCATCATACAAGATATAATATACACCAGCATATATAACGGTGTAACAAAAAATTGATAATATAAAACAGTAACGTTGTACAGAAAAATGGTTAACACATAAAATTAACATGTTTTAACATCGACTTTGTAAAGCTTTTACTGGAAAAATCTAAATTAAAACGACAGCAAACGATTGCAAATTCAAAATTTGTTATCGTTTAACGTTAATAATAATAATAATATACTTATTTATTCAACAACACATTTTTTTTAAGTCCAATAGTGTTTTTTTTTTTTTTTTTTTTTTTTAAATCTTTATTTATTTATGAGGGTTTTATCTGTGTAGATATGTCACCCTCATAGGTGCGATTCCACTACCACCACAAACAAGAGTGTAAGGCGTTAGGCCTTACACTCTTGCTATGGCGGTTTTAATCATATTGAACAGCATTCTGGCCTCCTTACATAAAGGAGCGGCCAAAATGCTGTTGCACATGCCTACCGAGTATGAATTCAAATTTGGAATGTGTTGCCTAATAATTTCACTACTACTACACTCCATTATTGCATGGTAAACGTCTTCCAATTTTCCACACGTCTCGCAGTCCGGTGAGGGCACCTTTTTCATTAAATACCCGAACTTATTTAAAGGTATGTGTCCCGAGCGAAGCCTCAGTGCCGTGACAACTTCACGCCTGCTCATTTTGGCATCGACAAACCATGGTATGCCAGGGAGATTGGGTTGTATGGTTTTATACCATATTCCCTTGGTTAACGATCTTACGTCAAAGTGGGCTTTCAAAGAGCTATAACAACGTTCCTTATTTAAGTACATCAGATCCCTAAAATACGGCACACAAGAGTATGTATCGCCCTCACATGTTGCTTCTTTGGCCCACTTATCCGCAATCTCATTCCCGTTTATTCCTATATGGGAGGGCACCCATTGCAACACAATCTCCCTGGCACCACTGCGTAATTGGCATATCAGACTGAGGATCTCGTATGCGACAGGACATCCACGAAAGCTTGGCCTAGAACATCGCGCTAAATGTTGAAGGGAACTTCTGGAGTCCGTCAAAATAACACATTTATTAAATTCCACGGAACTGAGATAAGACAGGGCTTCAAGGATAGCTATAAGCTCAGCGTTCATTATGGACATTTTTGTCGTAATTTTGAGTTTTATATGGTCTTTAGTCTGTGGATCGTAAAAGGCCACACCCATCCCATAGTCGTTTTTCGAAGCATCTGTATAAATTGTATAGAATTTACAGTACCATTCTGACATATATTTTTCATATATGATTTTTAAAGTGTATACATTGTGTATTCTTTTCGCGCCGCTTATTGTAGGAATAAAAGGTCTTAATAATTCTGTCAAATCCATATTGCTGACCCACGTGGGTAAAGAAAACATCTCTATTACACTGCCTTGTCGTATGGGGTGGTCATTTAATGTTGCATGCACCGACACCAAAAGCGGCTTCCTTTTCCTTCTCCAGTATGCAAATTGACAGAGTTCAGTCAGGCGGCTTATTAGTTTTATCGACGAGTTGTTTTTGAGCGACTTACATTTCAACCAGAACTTTCCCCCCAAATAGAGTCGTCGAGTATTTAGTGGAGGCAGGCATAGCTCGTTTTCCATAACATGTATTGGTGTACTTTTAATGAAACCTCCGATTACTCGCAAGTATTGGTTCTGAATCCTGTCAAGTTGCATCAATTGAGAGTTACTGCCACTATCGTAGAGGAAACTAGCATAATCTAACCTACTCCTGACAAGGGCAATATACAGGCGCCTTAGGTGTTTCGGGTGCACTCCCCAGCCCGGGCCTGCTAAAACTTTGAATATATTTGTGAATTTTTCGACTTTCTGTTTAGTTTCCCTTATGTGCCTACCCCATCTCAAAGTCCGATCCAACCAAAGACCCAGATACTTCACACTATCAACCATTTCCAATTGTCGCCCGTTTACTACTAAATGTGCTGAATCTCTTCTAAAACTATTACTAAATATACAGACCTTACTTTTATTTGCCGATATATCCAGTCCTATAACGCTTAGTAATTTTGAAAATTTATTTAGAGCCAACTGTAAAGCCAAACTTCCTTCTCTAATGTGTTGGTAAGTCAAATACAGGGCAAAGTCGTCGGCATATTGGGATACGTATACGTTATTTATATCCTTACAAATGTGTATAGTAGCCATGTTAAATAAAAGTGGGGATAAGGGATCTCCCTGCGCTAGGCCTCGCCCGGTATTGCGTGTAATATATTTATCAGCTACTTTTATTTTAAGTTGTCGAGAATGGAGAAAAGTCCACAAGTACTTACACACCCTTGCACCTACTCCAAATCTATCAATGATATGCAAAAGACATGTTATATCAACATTATTATATGCGTTATCCAGATCCAAAAAGGCGGCAATACTGGAGTTCTTATTTGAAAAGCCAATCTGAATTGTCGTAATTAAATTAGTTAAATTGTCTAAACTGGATCTACCTTTTCTAAACCCTGTGGTATTGTCGGAGAAATATTTTTTTGATTCTAGATACCACTCTAGTCTGTTGTTCAGCATACTATGGAATATTTTACACATACATGACATCATGGAAATGGGTCTTAAACTTGAGACAGATGTTGGGTCTCTACCTGGTTTGGGTATTGGTATAACATTTATATCACGCCATTGTAGCGGTACAAAACTGTGCGTATAGTATATATTGTAAATATGTAGCAACAAAGATTTAGCATTATCTGGCAAATTATTAATCATGGAGTACGATATATTATCAATTCCGGGCGCGGTATCTTTGACTCGAAAACATACTATTAACTCTGACATGGTGAATTCTCTTTCTAATTGCCGGTTGCAAGATGAAAATAAGGGCTGTTTCGGGCTAGCAAAGTCGGGGGTGAGACTGGTTAGGAGTTCTGTAGCTTTGTTGGTATCAATATAATTATTTAGATTTCTGTAGCCTTTTAACCATCGCATTTTCCTCCACATTTCACTGGCAGATGTAACCTCATCAAAAGAAGAACAAAATGTCTGCCAGCTTTTGCTACTAGCCTGTCTAATCGCTTTTTGTGTCTCATCTATTTTAGTCTGCAATATTTCCAAATTTTGTGGGGTAGGGTTCCGTCTAAATTTAGATAAGACTAGTCTCCGTTCCCCAACCAACCTTGACAGGTCTGCAGACCAATATGGCTTAGGAGAAAACTTTCCTGTTGGGTTTTGATTAATTTTGATAAAAGGTATGTGAAGGTCAGCCGCTAAAGTAATAAAATCTACAAAAGTATCGTATGCCTTTTGTAGGTCATTGGGAAGTTTAATTTTTGAGTAAATCTCTTTTAAGCAAGATTTATAGGCACTCCAATCGGCTTGTTTGTAGTTTCTTTTATATATTAAATTGGAGTTAGAATACAGACACGTGGAAATTTTGATAATTAAGTGATCGCTACCCAAGGACTCCTTCATAGGTTTCCATAAGAACTTTAAGGCAATATCAGATGAAGCTATTGAAAGATCGGGTGCAGATTGATGTAGTTGGCCGTTAATTAATTTCACCAAAGTGGGACTTCCATCATTTAGCATTACTAAATTTAAGTCTGATAAAGAGTCGTGTATTTGTATACCTCTAGCGTCATTTTTATACGACCAATTAGTGTGGTGACAGTTCAGATCTCCCAATAACAATGTCTTTCTAGTGGAAATAGACAGAACCCGGTCCCAATCACGTCGAGAGACAGATGCCGACGAAGGACAATAAATGGCAATAATATTCTGAATTTCATCACAGTTGCACACCTTCAAATGTAAAACTTGTATCTGTGGATTCAGGTCTTCTACATGAGCTGTGTGTGCTTTTACTGATTTATGTGTTATAATTGCGATACCCCCGTAGCCATCATCTCTATCAGAACGGTAAATGTTATAATTACTTAATTTTAAGTGCGAGTTCGGTTCCAACCACGTTTCACATAGGACAGCAATATGTATTTTATCCTGTAATAATATATTTTCAAATGCAATAAGTTTAGGTCTGATGCTTCGACAGTTCCACTGGCAGATATTTAAATCAATAGAAATTACCTTTTTACGATCCATTGAAGCCTGTTATAGATTCCACAATTCCCTTCAACATTGGCCAGTCTGACAGATTGTTTACTACTACTAATATTAACCACTCTACAAACACACTAATAATTTGTTTCACTTTGAGCTGCAAGTTACACTTTTTGAGAAAAATAATGTCACTAATTCTGGATAAAAGCTCATTGAACTCCACTCCGCTTTCT